CTGTTTTCCAAATGTTGGCACAGGTGCATGAACACTTCAGCATGTATCTCTTTGCAGAAACACCCTTTGCAGGTTTCAGAGCAGAATCACTCCACGGCGTTCCCGTCTGTGATTTACCAACCTTTCTTCTGCGGTGCAATGGCAGCGTAGGCTCAAACTGCCATCCTTTAGGTTAGGAGTGGAGGCAAAGCCGCTTGTGTGACTCAAGCCAAGTTCAGTCATATTCTATGACTCTATTCTGGGAAAAGAAGCATTCTGATCCATGTTTATTAAATGTACCCTACCTGCCCTGGCAGAGCTTCCACAAGAACCACACAAGAGCTCCCACATGAACTTTTCCCAGGACTGTTGTGGGCGGGATGATATTTCACATTTCATGTTAAGAGGAGGAGGCTGACATCTAAATGCCCAAACCAGGCAACAAGGTGAAGATTTCCTACAAAGTTAAGATGCCGAGGAAGCCACCTATAGATAGGAAACAAAGGGCAGGAGAAGAGAGGCCCGGAGGGCAGCAGGCCATGTTGTCAGACGAGGCTGCAGAGTGCTCGTGGAAAAGCGAACTGAAAGGTGGTAACTTGGCCCACGAACTTCTTGAAGCCTCCTCATGTGAGTGATCTGGCACAAATGGAGCACCAGATCTGTTAGTCTTTCTGCTCACCAACTAGCCTGGTGAATATGATATATATATGAATATGAAGGGGCGGGATATGCCCTTCAATAAGATGAAAAGAGATGTTAAAAGTCAGAGAGGTAAATGCCAAAGCCCAAAAGTCACAGAAGGTGAGGAGCCTAGCCAAATTCCAAGACCCAGTGAACCCGCAGGGGCCCAGGCTGGGAAGTGGCCAGCAGCCTGGCTGCACTTGCTCGGAGCCTGCAGCTAGATCACAGTGGACTCCCACCACAATACCTAGACTTAGCAAATGTGTAGGCTTTGGACTGAATACTCACTCACATCCTCTCCAGGAGGTGAGGAACTTCTCCACGTCTGAGCTCCAGTCTAAATGCCTTAGCGAGCGGACGTGCTATCAGCCTTCCTCCACGGCCACTGGGGGATGTCGCGCATACCACAAAAGCCATGAATAGATCCGAAAATCTGAGAGGTAAGTGTGCCCTCTTCATCCTTACACGGTCACTCAAAACCCAGCAATTATTCCTGTTTCATGTTCTCGTGCCAGGCTCCCTCCCAGGGTGGACTCCCCCAGGGCTGGTTGTGATCCTTGTGGGTAAGTGTGCCACTGCTAGATCCCTACTAGCAAATTCAAACAGCCAGACAGATGTGCTGGGTTAGCATGTTACAAAGAGAACTGCTTATCTAAAAGAGGGAATACTTTGGAATAAGCTTGCAATTAATTGGAGCTTATTATCTTCTAATGAGAACTGAACGGCTATATTTAGTTGTTTCTCTAAGTGTACAAAACTTCAGAAATATTGTGGTGCACCATTTTAAGTGAAGTTATTGCCAATTTGGGGACAGAAATTACATTTTTGCAGCCCGTCATCACATTCAGGTGTTCATGGAGTCTCAAAAAATTCGTTTGAAATTATCTCCTTTTCTGTTCCTGATGAGAGGCTGACAAAATTTACTGGTCCATCAAACTTGACAGAACAAGTAGATATGAATTTATTTTTAACAAACTAACATTTTTGTATATATCAGTCAAACCACAAAGTCTAAATACTTGAAAACAAAATGCATTATTAACTTGATTGTCACTACATAGCAAACTTCTATTACTATTTGCTATAATATGCAATGCATAAGAGAGGAGACTCAAATTCAAAACATTTAAAAATAAAAACTAAACTGATTATATTGTCTTGGAAAAATTAAAATATTGCAAGCTTGCAAAATTATAACCAAGGCATTAATGTTTTAAATAGGTAAGAAAAAATGTTTAACTTAATTTAGAGAACGTTATGCCCAAAGTGATGGTTCAATGTGCTGATGAAGAGTTTCTATGCTTCCTTACCCATTAAAAGGCAGCTGCAATTCTCCTTCCAGGAAGGCAGGATGGAAGGGAGCGAGCAGTGTCCCCACACTGCTTGTGCTGGGCTATGCCACTCACATCTCAGCCATCATCATTACTGGAAGCTGTAGGAATCCCACCCAGCATGTCTATGCAGTGAGATAACTATTCCAAATAAACAAATAAGCTTTAGGCTGCTGACTGCAAAACTGGTAGTTCAAATCCACCAGCCACTCCATCGGAGAAAGTTGAGGCTATCTGCTTTCCTAAAGATCTACTGCCTCAGAGATTCAACCCAGGGTCATTCTTGGTCTTCATGGACTTAGTGGCCAGTATTTGATTTAGAAACAAAGACATTTTAACAGGAAAAGTTAAATCATGGGCTTTCCAGCACTGAATCCCTCCATAGAGGTCTCCGGAAGATGGGCTGTGAGGACAGAGAAGGGAGTGGGTACCTGAGAGGGGACAAAGGCAGCAGCCATTCCTGGTCCTGAGTGCAGGTTCTATGTTCCAGAGCTGGGCAGGTGGGCAGGAAGACACGCTCCAGGAAGGCACCGGAAAAGGAAAACGAGTGACTTCCAATGGAAGACCAGTGTCAGCCAAGCCACTATCAAACACACAGAGAGACCAGCTTCCTCCAGGTAAAGACACCAACAGGAAATGGGTGAATAAGACTTTATGTTTTTAAATCCCACCTACCCACCCACCCCCAAAATTATATATTTGAATTCAAAAGGTATATAGCCAGCCTTCTGTACCCGGGGTTCTGCATCGGAGCATTCCATCAGCCCCGGCTGAAAAATCAAGAAATCTGTAGCACAGTGGGTTACCCACTGGACTGCGGACACAAGTCCACGGTCTGAAATAACCAGTCCCTCCACGGAAGGAAGAGAAGGCCTTCTCGTCCCATGAAGAGTGAGCCTCAGAAACCCAGAGACCACTGTCCCTTGTCCTATAGGGTCCCTGTGAGTCGGAATGGACTCGGTGGCGGTGAGTGATAAGAAACCTAGAGATGATTTATGTACGCAGAAGGATGTGGGTAGGTTCTATGTAAATAATTCTGCCATTTGACCTAAGACACTTGGAACCAAGCCCCCGTGGATACTGTGGGGCACCAGCACAGGCTGTTTGTGTTCATTTGAGACAGATGGTTTTCCTTCAAATGTATCTACATCCAACACCTCTCAAGGTCCAACAAGTCAGCAGAACAGTGCAAACACTTAGTAGTCCTGAGATACAAAGCACATTACTGCATCTTCCTGAATCTCAATCTGTAGAACTATAAAATTTGAATAATAATGCCCTCTGATAAGGTCACAGAATGATTTAATAAGAGAAGGCATGTCAGTGCATATTAAACACAATAATTAAAAACAAGTTTTTGCTCCATTTTCTTAAGGCTAATGAAAGGCTGGTCAATTCCCAATTAGTCCTCAAATTCTTTAATTCTAAAAATAATATGTGGACAGTGTGTGCAACACACACATACTGGGGCTAGAACTGTAAATTAAATACACCTCTCCTCCCTTATCGACATGGCTGGGTTCACAGGCCCAGTCGCCGTGCAACACCTGGTGCTCACCAAGGTGGGGGTGGAGGGACATGGGATAGCATCATCATCTTTGGTGGTGATGCCCCACCCCTTGTCCATCACTGCCTGCCAAGAGCCCTAGAGTGTCTGGGGGTGCACAGGGCACAATAGGCCCTCCCTTCCACATCACAACTCCCTACATGGAGGCTGTCCGGTAGGATGTCATGGGATATGGCCCACCACCCAACCTGGACAAGGGTCCCACTCACCCCACAGACCCAAATGGCCTCCCCTCAACAACTTTCTGAGCACCTCAGGTCCCTCTGTTCAGGCCCACTGCAGAGCAAGCGGAGAGGTCTTCCCTGGTTGGTCAGTCACCTTCCTGTGAGTGACCGGGCCACTGCCTGAGTCTCAAGTATATCATTCTGGGTGGTTCTCGGAGGCACTGTAGGGCGGGGCGTGGACCCACCTAGCACCCAGACTACTGAGAGCACCAGCTGGAAACGCTCTCCATGCGTCACACTACGGCCCGAGGAGTGGACAAGTGACGTCAAGCGGCACAGAGACCTATGGCAGCCACACCCCATCAATGTCAGACAGTGCGGAGCCACAATCCACCCTAAAGGACAGCACACCGAAAGTCCTTCTACGCACAGAAACGGGGAGTGAGGGCATGGAAGATTTTTTTTTAAGTCCGTTACACACTCACAGCTATGGGCATAGGTCACGGCCATCTGCAAGGACAGGTGACACCAACTACAAAGCACGGTCTGGGAGTGCTCGGGGAGCTGGGCTGAGCACGCCACAGAGCAGGGCCGCGTGGCAGAGCTGGCGTGTTTGATGGCACATTTGAAAGTCAGAAACTTGGAGAAGTGGCCGTGCTCACCTGGCGGCTGGCACCCCCAGATCTCAGTGCCCCTAAGGTAATTAAGTCTCCGTGACGAAGCTAATTAGGATAGAGTAGCAAGAAAAGAGGAACCCTGGCAGGCGGTGACATTGTAATTGTAGTGTTGTTTTGATGACATGGCAACTGTGGTATTATTTGGGGGATGACACGAGATGTGTTTTTGTTTTAATGTGAGCAATGTATAATTCTACATTAATAATTCAAAGAACCTTACGTTAGAAGCCCAAAGTAAAATACAGAAATAAAATGGACTAAAGTAACTTCTTAAGCCTGTGTGCCCAGGGCATGCTAAGGAGTCTCGAGGGATTACAGGCTTTGAAGGAAGCACTTCCAAAAACATGTCGGTCATGCCACAGGCCCCCACATTTCAAGTTTCCAAGACCTTCCCCATCGTTGTAGAGCATCATGTCACAGGTTAAACATGTCAGTCAGTGCTCACGGGTGTGGTGGTGCGGCACATAAAACCAGCCAGCCAGCAGGGCAGCTCACAGACAGACACAAACACCTGATGACCTGCCATTTGGTCCACAGAGCCTATGAGAAATGGGCCGTCGCTAACATGAGGTCGGGGCGCGGGGCGCGGGGGGGAAAGTACCTTTCTTTTGGGGTGCCAACTCCGTGTTTGCCAAGCAGGTGAGTGTTCAGGTGCTTCTTCATGACAAATGCCACCCTGGAACAGAGAACACAAGGTGTGGTTAGAGAGGCCACCTGGGCTCGCTCGATCCTGCGTGAAGCGGCAGAGGGGGAGGAATGGCCTGGCTGGGTGGCGGCAGCACAGTGCCCACATCAACACCAGGATGTGCCAGCCAGGCATGTGTGTCCTGCTCGTCCCTGAAGGAGCAGAAGGGCCTTCTCTCAGAATCCCAGGGCACCAAAGAGACCACCACCTCTCACACAGGACCCTGCCAGGGACCAACCTCATGGCAACAGCCCTCTGGTCACCCTCAGACCACCAAGCAATTCCACAGCATGACCGGAGCGGACCCCGCTGGGTCTCACACCTCCAACACTGGACGCATTTGAGAAAATGTCATTTTATTAAATATTTCAGGGACTATAAAAGTGAAAATGAATAGCTTCCATGAAGCTTCCTTGAAAACACGGCCGTGGTTTAAAAGTGTTTTTTTAAATGATGTAAATGTTTATGGAGTCTGCAGCAAGAAAAAAAAGTGCTTCAATGCCAAGAAGGTATCAATGCTAAAAGCCAAGGGAAAGCCACACCTGACATGCTACCTTTCTTTACACACCAGTCCATTTAGTTAAATCAATTCCGCTGACATAAATATGAGGTGCGAGGACCCAGAAGCCAGTACCCTGATCCCATGGATCAGAGTGCAACATCAATGTAATTACGTCATGTGAGAATTGAAGCAATTTACATATCACTCAGAAACATCCGGCTGAAATGGCTGCCTTGATGAGGGGGAGAAGGACTTTTTTTTAACTGTTGTATCTTTCAGTGTAAAAGGGCTTGCAAACATTTTTGTTAATTATGTATTACAGCTGTCCTTCATAAAGTTAATTACTAATAGCTGAAAGGCAACTGAATCTATTTGCATATGTACATGAAAGGCATGACATATGCAAAAATATGATTTTAATTAGCATTCTATGATATGAAGGGCTACAAATCAAATTGGCATGTTATAAGATTCTTAACATTAAGCACAAAATTCATCTGGACATGTCTGCACAAATGGACGGCAGACTTGCACAGTGATGTGACTGCGAGGCATGAGAAAAGCCCGGCAAACAGCGGGTCCTAACAGGGCAATGGCGCCTTCCCTCTCCACCTTGGGTGCATGGCGAGCATCTCCACAAATCTTTAAAAAATACCAGTAGTGTGGCTCAAATAACATATTTGCACTTTAAATGCTTGTAACTCCATTACTAAAACAATGAATGTGTACGCCTGGAGAGGTACACTCCGCCGATCCACTGGGCATTTGCAGCTTAGGATGAGACGCAATTCACAATCACACATAACGTTTGGCACCACCAATCCACGAAACTGAGAGGTAACTGTTTAGAAGTAATCAAATGGCGAGGAGCACCCTCAGCAAAAGTACAATGAAAGATACTCTATATTCGTTTCTGCTTCATGGGAACAAACAATATTACTGTTCATTTTCTTCAAACAGAATTCAGCAATAACAGCAGTCCATTTAAGCCATAACTTCCCTACTGTCCTCTGTTTCCCTATAATTAAAAAAACATAAAGCGAATCAAAAGGAGCAGAGGTTAAAAACCCAAAGTTGCACAGCACAGCTTATTTGCATGACCAAGTGTAATTTGAGAGATCTGAAGTTGGAAACCACAGTGCAGTTTTAATAGAAAGAAATTTTATTAATTAAAATGTCTGAGGTCTAAGAATTGAAGTGAAAACACTACACTGCACAGGAGAACCAACATGAAGCAGAGAGAGAGAGAATGTTTATCTAATGCAACACAGAACATTATCTGCCAAGTGTCTACAATGCTGCTATTTCGAGGAATAACACTTTGTTTTCATGACAGTAAAAGATAGAAAAATAAAAAATGTATAATATTAAAATACAGTTCAATTATATCCGAGTCCAAATGTGTGTATTCCTTACAACACAGAAGGAGATGCAGGAATTTTATTTCAGGGTATTACATTTGACTTAAAAGAAGTACCGATTTTTTCCATTAGTGTTGGTCTTACTACCATCCCTAGAGCAAGCGTGCATGACTAGCATAAGTTCATGGGTCCATCCTGAGAGTGTCACCAGCAATATGCAATTACTCAATTTAGCCATATTAATGGAATCAGGGTAAACATTTTGTAATATTTTCAAATTTTTAAAATTGTAACCCAAATGCCATCAGAAACCGAATACAAAAAATCGCCATTCTGAAAAGCTCCCTAGAAGAAATGCTGGGCCCCTGATGGGGGCTGGCCCCTCCTCTATGACAGGTCCTCATTCATATTTTAATTTAATTAATATAGTACAGCCGGGGAAGCAGTCTTCAGTGTGGGGCTGCCTGACTTCCCTGGGTGGTGCTCTGTCCCTAGTGGTGATGTTTACTTCTCCATCTATGGCAGGTTTCTCCCTTATGTCCATTCTGGTGTGTGTAGTTTTGGGGACCTCATGTCATGGGGGACACTGTGCACATGGAAGAAGAACAGGGCTGGTGGGGACCAACACAAGAGCAGCACATGGAGGGCAATGAAGGGAGCAACAGGGAAACAGGACCAAGCCACCCACAGGCCTGAGCCATACAGCCCAGGGAGGGCACCAGTCTGCTCCGCACAGGGGTCAGCGACAGCAAAGCCCAGGAGCAGGGGTGAGGGTCAGTCAGCAGGCTCCCAGATATGTGGCCGCTCAGAGAAAGCTATGGCGGTCTGGATGTGCAGAGGCTTCAAGAAAGGACACACATGCCCACAAAGGGCCGGCACAGGCACCCAGCTCAGGGTGGAGGCAGAGACCAGGGCGGAGCAGGCTCCTAGGGCCCTGGTGGGTTCCAATGGTCTCACATGTCAGAACAGGCTGAAAGGGAGGCGGGGGATCCTCAAAGGAGGAAGAGGCAAGAGACATGAAGGTCCCTGCAACAGTACCTGCAATATAAGACCCTGGCCTGTCCACAGAGGAGCAGAATAGAAAGCAAGGCCGGGCAGATCCAAGATATACATCTGTCACGAGGACACACCAACCAAATCGCTGACTCTTTTCCCCGAGGCTCCAGCTCAGACAACGAACTCCTCCTCCTTCGCCCCTCTGCTCTTCCCACCTCAGAGTCTTAGTGAGGAGGCGGTGCACAGGACGCTGTATCAGAAACCCTGAAGAGAGGGGTTCAAGGGGACACACTGCCTGCAGAGCCCATCTCGGACCAGGGAGGGCTGCAGGCTGCAAGTCTCTGGCAGCTGAGCAGGATGCATTCGGGGGCTGTATGTCGTGTCCAACCACAGTTAAACCTGGGAAAGCTGGAACTGTCACAAAGGGCAGCCACTCACAGACACATGTAGGAAAGTGCGAAGGCGGCCCCTTGCCAAGACCCCAGAAACAAGGCAGCCCTATGGGGCTCCAGCTCTCTGACAAGTTTCTGTGGAAAGTACCTGCCCTGAACAAGCTCAACAATCTCAGACGCGCGGCGTGTTTCTAACATCCAGCCTCGCTGCGGGCCTGTCGCTCTCTGTCGGCACAGCTCTCCCCCTCTTCTCCTGGCCCACGCACCCATTCACAGCACACCCCGTGAAAAGCGGCAGGACACGCATGCCAAAGGCTCTTGGACAGTACAGGACACAGAGTGCTCTTGAAATCGTGGCCTAGTGCCGCTGCCAGGTCAACTCCACAAGCCCTGGTGTGGCCAGGGCAGGAAAGGCCTGTGGAAAGGTCAGGGCGGAGTCTTGGCTCTGCCTTGTAAGACTTGCATCACATGGAATATACAAAGCACATGCCCTGAGACATGAGAGAAACAATACTTGCATTTATTTCTTGAGAACCGAAAGAAACCATACGACCACACAGGTAGCATGCAGTGCAGGTAGAGGGCCATCTATCAGGAATCTCTCCGCCAGGTCCTCAGACGGCCTGGGGGCCCTGAGAGTTAGGCTTTGGGCTGCTAACATCAAGGCTGGTGATTCACACCCCGTTTCGTGCAGGAAAAGAGGGGTCAATTAATAGTATCAATGTGAGGGACCCTGGAGTGATCTGGATGAACCACTGGCCTACTAACCTAAGGTTGTTGGTTCAAACCCACCAGGCCCTCCACAGAGAAAGATGAGGCTGTCTGCTCCAGTACAGAGCTAGAGTATCGGAAACCCGAGACAGAGTGGCTATGGGTTGGGATTAGCTGCATGGCAGTGGGTTTGGCCTTGGGGGGGTTATTAAATTGCTATAATTAAAATCTTATTGGCAATATAATTATATCCGAGTGGGGGAGTGAGAGATTTGTTAAGATTAAAGATTTCAACAGCAAAAAAAAAAAAACACCTCATTCCTTTGGGCAAATTAACACCTCGCACGAATATGCAGAACTTAAATCAAATTTCAGTTGAGAAGACTTACACAAGATCTGATAAAAATAACAATGCAGCCAACAATACCTACCTGTATCAACACCTCCACCTAAGGTGTGAACAGATTCCTGGCTCAACCACTGAAATCCGACACCAATTTCTATTTGTTTTTCTAATACAGGCAGCCCCCGACTAAGAGTCACACCAGCTGTCACCCGGGACAGCAGCAGCAACTGCAGCAGCATCAGAGGTGTCCTGAGGTCCAAGGTTTACACTGCACAGTGGATGGAGTGGGCCCAACACATTCTTGGCCATATGTAACTAGCAGCGCCTCTTCGCCGAGTGAGCCACCTCATCCCCAGTGCCTCTGGATCACAGGGTCCCAAACTGGCATGCAGCGACACTGTCACCAGCCGACAGCTTTGTTTTAGGAAGCCTTTCTTTGTGGGAACTACAATGGCACTCAAGGAGATTGCATTCAAACATAAATCACAGGCTCACGTGCCACAGGCCCACAGTAAGCTCTGGGACCCACACATAAAGAGGGTCTGGCCCGACCCAGGAACAGACAGAGCAGTGGGAGCCAGAGTTGCTGTGCCAAGCACAGAGGGGGTGAAGCGAGCAGGATCTGGGAAACTGAAGAGAACTCAGCAGAGGAGAGACCGGCCCCGCAGCGCAGACCTGGGTCC